CAGATACTCGTAGTGGCCAGTAGGGGTCACAAAGGCAGTCTTCCATTCATCCCCCTCACATATCCGGATGAGGTTGTAGGCACTGCGGAGGTCCAACTTGGTGAACACGGTGGCTCCACGCAGTTGTTCCAATGCAGCTGGGACGAGGGGAAGTGGGTAGCGGAATTTGACTGTACTGTTGTTAAGGATTCTGTAATCTATGCATGGCCGCAAGCCTCCGTCCATCTTGGCCACGAAGAAGAAGCTCGAAGCAACAAGGGACTTGGATGGTCGAATATAACCCTGGTGGAGAGCCTCCTCAATGTACTCCTCCATGACCTTCTGCTCAGGTATGGAGAGTGGATAGATTCTACCATGGGGCACTGGCGCACCTGGTATGAGGTCAATCGCACAGTCCCATGGCCCATGTGGTGGAAGCTGGGTCACCCTTTTGGGACAGAACACGTCACTAAAGGGGGCATAGCAGGTGGGTATGATTACGGATTATTTCTCTAGGGGACTCTCGATGGACGTGGTGCAGACCGGTAGCACTGGATGGAGTGATGGACGGTTGAGGGGTAGCGTAGGGAAACATTCCGGGAAGCATTGATCGCCCCATTTCAGGACCTCTCCAGCTTTCCAGTATATTTCAGGCTGGTGTTGGTTGAGCCAAGGGCGACCCAGTATGATGTACGCGGTGGAGTGCTCCAGAACCAGTTGGTGAATGCTTTCCTGATGACAAGTCCCAACTCGAAGCAGCAGAGGTCCCACTTTGAATCTTACATCACGTTGACAAAGGGGTTTACTGATTATTGATTGAACCTGGTAGTGGTTTTGGACGGCGGTTCTTTGAAGCCTAAGCTGGCGGCAGAGGTTCCCCGAGATGAAGTTTCCAGCTGACCCAGAGTCGAGGAGTGCTGAGAGAGAGAGGGAATTATCAAAGACAGAAATATGTACCAAAGTAGTGAGTGGAACTTTATCGACAAAAGGTTCCTGGATAACACTCACCACAGGTCGTGGGGGGAGAATGGGACATGAAATGATAGCATGTCCAGCTGTTCCACAGTATAGACAGAGACCCTGGGCCAGCCTCCTCTGCCGCTCCGTGAACGGAAGTCGGGTGTTGCCAAGTTGCATGGGTTCTGGAGCACTCTCCTGCTCTGGCTGGCAGGGAGGACTAACCCGGAGTTCTTCATTACATTGTTGTATTCTGTTGGATACTTGATTGGCAGTCTGGATGAATCTCTCTAATCCAATGGTGTCACTATAGGTGGCGAGATGCAGCCACAGTTGAGGATTCAAACCTTGACAGTATGTGGTCAGGAGCGAGCGCTCGTTCCAGCCACTAGCAGCTGCTAAAGTGCGAAATTTCAGAGATCTTGAATAGACATTTTGCCTTGTTTTAGGTGATAGAGTTTTTCACTAACAGATGAGTAGTCAGTGGAATGACCAAATACCTCACGGAAATGGTTAATGAAATAATCTAATGACTGGGTTGCTGGACCACCTTGCATCCAAATTGTTTCCGCCCATTGGAGAGCTCGTCCTGATAACAGAGAAATAATGAAAGAAATTTTTCCCCGATCCGTGGTGAAACGATGGGGCTGCATCTCAAACACCAGTGAACACTGCAAGAGGAAGCCATTGCAATCCTCTGCC